AAAATTGACTGAATTGCAATTAAGACTGAACTTAATCTACGTCTACGAGTTTAGTGCACACTTTTCACAGTGTACCCAATAAACTAAATATTGTTTACTGTGTTGTGTCCTCTTCCTGCTATTAATGTTCAGGGATGCACATTTACAAATTTTTAAAAGTGCCCATTTTACACATATTCAGGTTTCCCCCAAATAGAGATTTACATTGACATAGAAGTGTTAATTCAATTTAACAAACACAAATACATGCAAAACTCACACTGACTTCCGAGTTACAGATTTTTTGTGCCTCCGAAATGCCAATCAGGACAAATGCCGTGAGAGAAGCATCTGGATCAGTTCTGCCAGATCCTCCCTGCAGAGAGAAAACATGCTCATTCATCGAAAAGACATGTTCACTTAGAGAACTGCTACATCCACGTAAACAAGATAACATACCATTCACATTCAGAATTTGTAACCATAGCACTGAATATCACAACTTGTAGAATGTCTTATAACATGATAGGACATATTTATTAATACATCCTCATGTCCACTGTCTTGTACCTATTCCTTTAATCCTGGTAAAGAACTCACTTTCTAACTGGTTACAATTAGTGCCAGAACTGTTAACTCTGTTCCTCAAACCTGGTTCCTTAATCTGATTCCTGAATTGTCCCATAAATGGACATTTCTGTGTAGTAGAACACATGGATGGACTTAGACCTGACATTTTTGCATATACCCAAAGGACCTCAAAGGACATTATATTGTCTTCTAACCCAACTGATTCTGGGGTTTCCCCAAGAATACATCATAAAGTGTCTATTTTCACATGGATATTGTATCTATCATACCACTCACTCTCCACCTTGTAACTTAAAAACATCCCATACTCTGATTTTTCACTTGCCACATAAAGCTCTTCCAGTAACTTACCACCATCTCACCATGGATGACCGGTGCGTCCTCTTTGAAAGCTCCGTTAGGTAGTTGTTTCTCCTCAATTAGCCACCGTACAGCCCCACATAGGACACTTTTTTCAATATGTACCAATTCAAATGCCATAGAAAAAATCTTAACTACATATGCTGTGAGCCTGCAAAGGAGTGTCGTAAAAAAAAAGTGCAGAAAAGAAAATAACTGTATTTAGAATATTTTTGACTAGGAGATATTTTTTGAAACTCCAGGTCTTCCAGTGCAACTCTACTTTTATCTTTCACTATGTGATTGTATCCAGATAAATAGTATTATACATTTAAACATATCTTTTTCTCAATTAAAAGTTTCGATTCACAAATAATTTCACATATTGTTGCGTGTGGATTCTTAAACTCCTTTTTTCTATATTTTATATTGTTAACCTTTAGTAGTGTGGGTTAACGAGAGTCCAGCACCTTATACATTCATGCCTACTTGGGAGTGTGACTTAGTGTATAATAACCAAGTCTTAATCTACCTCCCATATTTCCTGACCATATTAAAAATATAGGCATAATATCTACAGGAAATGCAGAGTGTATTTCAAACTAAGTTTGACATGTGCCGAATCTGAGCATATGTGAATCTCTTTAAAACATTTAAACATAAACATGCTGTGCAGTCTCTCATTGTAAATTACAAGAAATCACAATGAAGAAAAGCTATAAAACGGGACATCAGACTGAATAATGTACAAAATGAAACTCAGAGTAATCCTCCCAAACATTGCTCACCAGGTGCTGGCTGGTCTGTTAGTAAAGGCAGAATAAGAGTTGTCATCTTTTCGATATACCAACTGCTGAACATATCCTGACAAGACAGATGGGCAAAAATGGGAAACGTGTGTTAGTTACATGTGTTCGTAACTGATAGCAATATGTTGTCCAGGTGCATTTCAGCTACATTCTAGAATACTTATCAGATAACACAAAATGAAATGCCAAATCATTCTATATAGAGTAATGCTAATATTGTCCGAAAGTCATAATCTAGTTTGCCTTTTACAGTGTTTGCAATATTCCCACGATCTTCAAGTATGCTCACCCTGGTTAATGGTTTTAATGGCTTCTTCTCTACGGTTTAGTCCAACTTTCTCCCATTGGCCAGTGATATCAAGGTATCGGGTGGCGATCACACTGGGGGTCATTGTCATCATATTCTGCTCTCCACATCCAGCAGGCACCATGATTAGGTGGTTTAGATTGGAACCATCAATGGAATTGCCCAATGTTTCCCCCAGAAGGTCACCTGGAAATTGAAGACACATCATGAGAGATATGTAGACATGTAACAAAAGACAAGGAAGATAATATGTTCCACAACTGATAAGAAATGTTAGTAAAAGTGGGAGTGTATTATCTAGGAATTTTGTTGCTCATAACATGAAAACCATTTCAACAAATTACATTTTTTTTCATGATTACACACATTTTTGAATTTTACTTTAACCAATCTAAAACAACTATTCAGGCAATAACATTTTTTTTCATGACATTTATGCATTCCAATTAGATATCTGGAGTGCTCCTTTAAAAAGCTAACTAACACTCACATATAAAGTTCGTAATAATTATATCTACCATTGCATTTTACTAATTCATTGGTATAACCCTTTTCGATCACTGATCTCGGTCAGTGACCTTCTCCTGTGGAAAAGGACTCTCTGGAGAAGTTGTTGTAAGCAACTTGACCTTTTAAGATCTTGGGTTGTTTGTGAGAGACAAAGGGTCACCTGGGTAATAACCCCATTGACTTTTAAATGACTACAACCTAAATGACAAATCAAAAAAGACTATGAGCCAGTAAGATAAAATGACTTTAAAAAGTGACATCTAACTGATCTAAACATTTATTAAGGGTAGCCTTGGAAACTGGAAATATCATTATTACAGACATCACAGACCATTGGTGCCAAGCTGTCTATCCAGAGCAGAACCCTAAATCAGCATGTCTAGGCGTGGACATCTTCTATACAATTTATGCATGAATGCCACAAGACTAAGCCAGCTCTCACTAAGGATTTACAACCTGTATTGCAGGCAAGGTTGCTGAAACTGATGTTCTTGGTTCTAATCCCTCTGAATTAGCCTGGGTAGCTATTTTGGAAGCATGTCAAGTGATCATTCTTACCTTTCACACTGACAAATGTCATAGGTTCACTGTTGGGAACAATATCGTTCTGAGGGACAGGGTCAATGGTCAGTATCTGAACTCCTGAAGTTGCAAGAGAAGAATCTCATTAGCACAGTATAGAGAGATCACTCAAATGCACTTTATAGATGGATGACATAAATAAGGTAAATTACAGTGTACAGTAGTAGAACAGAGATCACTGTTTATGTAAGTTCAGAGATGATACTGATCGTATGATATTTATTATTACTATTCTAAGACTGCACTAAGTAAAAGAAAATACACAGTACTGGCACTAACATATGACTCTATCGAAGTACTTACACACTTGTAATAATATCTCCTTATGGCGATAAACCTTTATAAATCTCTCCTCACTCCTGTTAATCACACAGCTGTGTAACTTTCTCCTGTTGGTCACATGGCTGGGAACCAGCTCTTACCTGTGAGCTATCGACCTCTATTCTGAGACTCACCTTTCTCTGATACTCACTCCTGGCTTCACAATGTAGCAATTTAGCAGAAGGGTTAGGGAGCTGGTTAAGTTGGGAACTAGCAGAACGGAAAAGTGCAAGCAGGTATTTGTGAGGGCTATTTGGACTGTGGAGTAGCGTTAAATGATAGAAATCACTTAAGACTTGGTAATATTGTGAGAGATTGGGAATAGGACAAAACTTAAATTAGGGAGATCTACTAGAGAAATGTGTTGGGTAACAAGTCTGGAACAATTAAGATCAGACATACAGGCCAAAGAACCAGAGAGGCATAGCTCAACACCCAAAACAGTCCACCAGTAGTGATGTCGCGAACCCGAAATTTTCAGTTCGCGAACGGCGAACGCGAACTTCCGCAAATGTTCGCGAACCGGCGAACCGCCCGAAACGCCATTGACTTCAATGGGCAGGCGAATTTTAAAACACACAGGGACTCTTTCTGGCCACAATAGGGATGGAAAAGTTGTTTCAAGGGGACTAACACCTGGACTGTGGCATGCCGGAGGGGGATCCATGGCAAAACTCCCATGGAAAATTACACAGTTGATACAGAGTCTGGTTTTAATCCATAAAGGGCAGAAATCACCTAACATTCCTAAATCACAATCAATATGGATTGACACCTGACATATGACATGTTGACACCTTGACATATGGATTGACACCTGTCCTCAGAGCCCCTGATGCACACGGACACAGAGCAGAATAGAGACTGGTCCCCCTACATAGGGTCACTTGGCAAATATGGATTGACACCTGTCCTCAGAGACCATGATACACACTGACACAGAGCAGAATAGGGACTGTTCCCCCTACATCGGGTCACTTGGCAGATATGGATTGACACCTTGTTACAAACTGCTATTTGTAACGGGCCCTTTAAATGGCAAATTGCCCTGTTTCCCTGGGTTGTGGAGAAGCCTCTTTGCCAGCCTCCTCCCGCATGACTATGGCCCCTGGGAGATTGTGAAAATGTATGCACTTTTATTTGGTGTGTATGGCCCTTTAAGACTGTCGGTGGGCATATTGGGGCTTATGGACTCTTTATGTGACTGGTGCTGGCCCTTTAAACACCTTTTTTGGGACATCAGGAAGATTGGGACACTGCCCCTTTAAGGCCGTGTCCCCAGACTTGTTGGGGACACGGCCCCTTTAAGACGGTGTCCCCTGTGTCCCCAGACCTGGTGCAAACCCTTTGTGCCTGCCTGGCTATTTCCCACTTGGTTCAGTAAATGGGAAATTATTTCAGCTGCAGAGACTAAGTCCCATTGGCGATGGGACTTAGTCTTTTTCAACCGTTTTTTCAGCCT